GACGCCGCCCCCCAATCCACCTCCGGCAAAGAAGCAGAAGCAGTCCTGGATTATTAACCCGGACCCTTATGTACCTAAGACCACAAAGGTACCGGAGCCATCACTGAAGCCTCTCCCCACAAGGCCTTGGGAACGTAGTGCCGAGGAAGTCGACGCGGCCGCGGCTGCTGATTTGGAGAAATGGAAGGCGGACTGCAAGAAGAAAAGAGAGCCCGAGCCCAAGCCAGTATTTTCTGATGAGCAAAAGAAGTGGGCTAAGTCATTTTTGAGCACACCGTCCCAAGCCGCGAAGAATCTGCCTAACGACTATGCACGTGAACTTCGCAGGCAGGCACTCATGTTCAAGGAGAACAAAGAGCGGGAGAAGGCCGAAAGTAAAAAAAGCGGGAAACAAGTTGCCCAGCTCGGGGAACAAAGTAAACAATCGATTGCCCCGCTTATAGTGGAAGCCTTCTGTCCGGATGACCCCGAGATCATACAAGCTGTGGCAGCACAGGGATTGACTGTAACGAGTGCCAGAGAACAAGCAGCCAACTTAGGTATTACTCTTCGTGAACTGTTAGGCCTTGATGAGGCGCCAGTGAAGGAGGTAGTAATTACATATGTCAAGAATGGGCCTCTCGTCGAGCCTGCGCAGGAAAAGGATCTACCTCCACAAATGAAAGGTCTGCTGAAATGGTACAAGGGTTACATAAAAAATAAAAACGCCAAAGAATATATTTATGCGGAAGTTAGACATGAGCATCACTTCAAACATTACTATGTACAAATTGAACTGAGTGAATTGTTCCAGCTTTTCAATCTGCGCGAGCTCGATAAATCTATCATCGGTTGCTACGTTCTGTAAGTGATTTATTAATTTCTACCCCATCTCGTTCATATTGCCTGCACTATATATATGTCCTAACTATATTGTTGTGTCCGCTATTATACATGTAGAATGAAGATTAAGGAATGCAGAGTAAGGAACATCCATGATGTTGGGTTCATTGACCCACACATCGTTAATGGACATGTGTTGGAGCGTTACCCCGCCGATGTGGAGGCAGACCTGTGGCAGTTTCTTACAAAGCAGGAACTCAAAAGTGATATTCTATTTCCTTACCATTTTGAGTGAGTGTTTCTGTCTTGAGCACATTCTCTTTTGTTTACTCCATGCATGGTATGTGGCCGGCTAATCGATGAGTTATGCATGACGTACTGTGCATGTATCGTGTCCGCAGGTTCCACTGGATTCTGCTAGTAATTAAAGTTAACACCTCAGAATGTCTCGTCCACGACTCTGTGAATATGGATCCAAAGCTTTGGGGCGGCATGAGAAGAATGCTGCAGAAGTAATTATTTTCATTCATTTGCGCTCTATATCGATCGGCCTATTTCGTTCATTTCCTAATATCAAGTAACTAATTAATAACTCTCTTGTTCATTTAATTTTCTTTGCCTCGTAGGGTTTGGAGACGGTTCGTAGATACAAAGGTCGGTGAATTTAAAAAAGAGCTAGAATTCAAAATGTTAAAGGCTAAGAATGCTGGGGATATTCAGCCACCGGAGACCAATCTATGTGGATACTATGTCTGTGAGATGATCCGGAGATACACCTCTGAGCGGGTTCCGAGTGATACCAATGCTCAGAGGAATAACCTCCGGTGGATGCTTAGTCCAGAAGCTCGCTTCCGACCACTTCAAGAGGAACTAGCTGGATGGTTCAGCAGGGAAGTCCTCCATCCTAAAGGAGAACACTATTACGATGACGTAGAACTTTATATGCATTAAATCATGTATGGAAACTTGTTCAAAATTGTATATGGTCATCCGATGATATTGAATATATATTGTATATTCCTCTTGAATTCTTTTTGGTTCTAATTTCAAATTTATTTGAAATTGTACATTCATATGCATGTATGTAGTACCGTAGAATATATGAAACTCCTTCAAAATTAAAATAAAGCACAAAAGAAATAAAACAATACAAATTAAACAGAAAACAGGTTTAAGGGGGGGGGCTAAAACCCTAAACCTGCGGCGGCCTTTAGTCGCGGTTGGCCAGAAGAACCGCGACTAAAGGTCCTCCGCCCCGACGGCCACCTGGCGCCCACGTGGACGGGCCTTTAGTCGCGGTTCTTAAGCAACCGCGACTAAAGGGGGGGGGGGCTTTAGTCGCGCCCGGTCTGTCGCGGTTGCGCAACAGCGACTAATGGCAGTTGCGAACCGCGACCAAAGGCCCTTTTTCCACCAGTGCTCTAGGACAAGAATTGATGTAATTTTCTTGTAAGGAAAGCCTAGATGAATCCTTTACTTGTACGGGAAGTCCAGCCGCCTCTTATATATGTTGGGGGTGACGGCCGATTGAACAACACCAATCGAACCCATCAATCTATTACACTTTTGTGTTCATCTATCTTTATCCCCTACCCTTGTATCTTTCTTTCTCGTTCTTCGTTCGTTCTTCGCGTTGGAGGGCAGCGATCCACGAGGCTCTAGGGGCGAGCGAATCGACCTAGGGCAGCCCATAGCCGTTGCACTCCCTGACGGGGTCCCTCCCGGGCGTGTGGGGTTTCGGGTCTGCAAAAGCGCCCGCCGACTGTCTTGCGTATCGCGCTGTCGGTCGGGTCTCCTTCGACGTGAGTTGCGGTGCATCACCCCCGGCGTCGAGGGTACACGTGACGTGTTCGTGTGTCAACACCGTACACGCTGCCTCTCGCGTCGCGCGGAGCCGCCTCCGATTCCGGAGTGCGCGTGCGGGTCGTTGAGACCGAGAAGAAGGGGCCACTAACATGCTCGCTCCGTATGACAGATTCTAGCTGCGTTTTTTTGTCAGAATTGTCATAACGACAATTATTATGTCAATTTTGCCAATATTGAGACTCTCCTAGAGGTTCTTAGGACTCGGAACCCAGGCCTGCAGGCCAGTAACTTCAGTTGGAATCTGCTGTATTACTAGCAAGGTTTCTTTGACAGGTTTGTTTATATATCGAGAACGTGATTCACGCCTGTCCTGCTCACATGTTGGAATCTCGGCATTTATGCAAAATTCAGAGTGAGTACCACGCTACATGTTCTGCCTGCTCAAATGTTATCTTGGAATCCTGGCAGTCACAAAATTCAGATCGAGCATCACGCCACATGTACGGCCTACTCACATGTCAGATTTTGGGTCAAAATGTAACATTATATTCCGGCTAGCTTGTGTATTCTACAACTTTTACCAATTTATTGATGTGAAGTTGGGCCATTGTTTGGACACAAAAATAACCAAATGACCATGATGACAGTGTCCTGGATTATGGATGCACACCAGGTCGGCCTTCCATTCATAGGCCGGGCCGAGGACCCGTCTACATTTGAAGAATGGGCGACAGGGCAGTCCGGCGGACGAGAGCATGTGGTGATCACCGCAACTCCTCCCCGTCACGTTTCACACTCCACGGGGCACACAGCCTGTTCGATAGAATATGTAGGAGTATTTAACCAAAAACTACCACAATTGACGGAAACGTGACAGAAAACGACCACTCTACATTTTTGTGCGAAAAACTACCAAATTTGAACTAAACCTTGGCAAAAAACTACCAACTGTCGAAAGCGCTCGCTTCGCCCGCGCTAACCCCGAATTAGTTGCCACGGTGGCTAACTGACGGCCGCCGCGCGGTGACGGCCGTTAACGGCCCGTCTCTGTCGGAACGGCGCCATCTCGAGTTCGGGCGCGATGGCGGCCATGGCTAGCTCCTCCAACCGCGCCTCCTTCTGCCCTTAGGACACCGCCGCCTCGCCAGGAATCTCTCCACCACTCCCTCCCTCTCTCTCCCGTCGCTCTCTCCCTCCCTCCCCTAACCTCTCCACCGCTCCCTCTCTCTCTCTCCCGTCGCGCCACAGCACCTGCTCGACGCCGGAGCATCTCCGCCGCTCGATCTGCGTTCCCCAACCTCCAGTGCCCCGCCACCTCGTCGATCCAGCCAAAATCTTCGCCCCCGCCGCCCCGTTGACCCACGCCGCTGCCTCCGCTTGACCGGGAGGAGACGTCGAGCATCGCCGCCCCATGGGCCGTCAGCGACCACCAACAGCCTGCCCTGTGAGAGCTGAGCCAAGGGAGGGTTGAGGAAGCGGATCCGGGCGCGGCGAGCCTCTCCTCTCCAGGACGGCGGCGCGGCATGGCTGCGGATCTCCTGCTCCAAAGAGAGAAGACGAGGGGTATGGAGAGGAGATCGGGGCGGCGTGCGCTGACCTGCTCCGGTTGATCTCCGCCGTCCCTCTTGCCGTCATTCGCCGCCGGCGACGGGGACTATCCCTGGTCTTCCTCCGTGGGAATCTTAGAGGAAGGGGATAGAAATGACATGTGGGCCCCATACGAGTTGACGGTCAAACTTGACGGTGCTGACTTTTTTTTAGTCCTGACATGTGGGACAACTCTGTCATAATCGAGTTTAAACTAGCCGAATCAGCCATTTTTCAAACATGGTAGTTTTTAGTCAAAGATTAGTCAAAAAATGGTAGTTTTCGGCATAAATTTGTAAAGTGGTAGTTTGTAGGCACGATTGCGTGAAATGTGGTAGTTTTTTGTTAAATACTCAATATGTAGACAGCTGGGCTTGCCCCTTGGGTACCATGGTACACGTTTTTGACAGATGGAGAGGACATTTGACCCCGCCCCTTGGAGATGCCCTTGGTTCTCACTTGTCCAAAATTACTTTTACCTCTTGATAGATGGGCCTACCACGACAGCAGGTGCTGCTCCGGACAACCAGAGTGCGCACCATCTTTATAAGCCGGCCCGGCTGAAGAGCAATGCATGGTTCAGGAGCTAGCTAGCTAGGCACACAAGCTCAACCAGTCAATGGCGCACATAAGAACCATCTTAGGGGTGGTGATGGCGGCCGCAGCGGCGACGATGCTGGTGTCGCCGCTCCTTGCTGGAGCCGAAATTTCTCCGGCTGAGGCACAAGGGATGCCCAACTGCGACATCACCTGCGGCAGCATGAGCGTGCCATACCCATTCGGCATGGGCCCAGCCAGGTGCTATTGGCCGGGCTTCAACCTCACGTGCGACCGCAGAAGCAACCCGCCGCGGTTGCTGCTCGGCGACGGCACCCTCCAAGTCCAAGAATTCTCCATGAGTAACTGGTCGACATTTGTGACCGTCATACGTACGGGTGACATAAAAGTCGACGGCAATGGTGAAGGCACACTCGGCGGTGGTCTTACCACCAACGGGCCCTACACGATTTCATCCAACAAGCTCATCCTGCTGGGCTGCAATGTTCAGGCGACACTCAAGAACAGTGATGTGATCGTGAGCAGCTGTTCTTCTTTCTGCAAAAACGGTGATAGACTCTCCCATGTGCGATCCACACTCGAAGAAGGCATGCAATGCTCTGGCAATGGCTGCTGCCAGTCGGACATTGTCTTCAACCCTGCAGAGGTAGCAGGAAGGCTTTTCAACAGTACGTCCTATGACGTGCAGCTCAAATGGTTCGGCTGGAACCGCAGCACGGACCAGCAATGGCCCGCACACGTCTTTATCGCGAGGTCCAGATGGTTCAGCGGTACATCAGTCTTCCGCAAGCTGTTACGAACAGACGCCCCCGTGTCAGCGGATGCAATGCAAGTTCCCTTTCGGCTGGACTGGGAGGTTGTTGGCCATGGCGCAGAAGGCTCCAACGTATGCAAAAGCAAGCACAGCGACTACCTAACGGGCAAGAAAGGCTACACATGCTCCTGCAATCACGGCTACGAAGGGAATCCCTACATCACCGACGGATGCAAAGGTCCGGTCTTTGTTAATAATGCCTTCTTTCTCTGATTTGAGAGAAGCAATAAATTTTAGGGGTTTCTCTTCGCTTAAAGCTAGCATGTGTTTGTTCGGCTATGTGTAGATATCGACGAGTGCAACAATGAAGGGTCTGCTAAGTGCTATGGTTATTGCACCAATTTGGATGGATCATATTATTGCCGGTGTCCCCCCGGAACCGATGGCGATGCTACCCTCCAAGGTGGCTGCCGCACTCCCATCACAAGTAAGAAATATTGCGACAACCTCATTTATTTTTACTATTGAGATGAAGGGGAGCTTTGGGGTAGCGGTAAAATTGCTGCCTTGTGACCAAGAGTTACAGTGTGGTCAGACCCTGTGCAAGCGGGAGCTACATGTATCAGGCTGCCTTTCTTTATTGAGATGAAGGTAAAAAAACAAAAACAAATCATATCCATCCCTCAACAAGACGCTGGATACATTCAATTAAGTTTATTGTTAAAGGATCGGCAATTAGTCGACTACTGTGTTGACAATTGGTTATTTAGAACAAATGGAGGACTAAAAACGACGTTAGCGTAATAAATTGCACACAAACAAACAAAAAGCCGCTTTAGCGAGGCTTTATGGATTTACTCCCTCTGTTCAGCAATATAAGATGTTCTAAAAATTCTGAATCGGATGTATATGTACACATCATACTGTGTTTGTTCGCTCATTTCAGTCCAATATTAAAATATTCAAAACATCTTATATTTGTGAACCGACGGAGTAGTTAGCAAGAGTAAGAAACTATTGTTCCCTCGAACAAGAACGTAAATCATCAGGGATTACCATTCTTCCCTCAATTTTCACAAATCTACTCATGAATAGCGTCATT